TCGTTTAGGTTAGCTTCGTTGCAGATATCTTGGAATTGGTCCCAGTTAGCTTTATTGTAATGGAATTTTGGTTCTTGGTTTTCTGTTTGGATTGGTACGTTTGTATTTCCTATGGTTATGTTTATGGGGAAGTGGTCACTACCTAGCGGGACGTCGTGCACTTCCCATTGAGTACTTTGGGCTAGATCTGCGGTGCATATGGTTAGGTCGATAGCCGACATTTTTTGGTTTATCTTATCGTACCTCGTGGGTTGGTTGCTATTAAGGAGTACTAGGTCGTTTGTTTCTATCCATTCGGAGATTAATTTGCCATGATTATCTATTTTATCATCTATGCTCCATGTAGGATGGTGAGCGTTAAAGTCTCCTAGGAATATAGTAGATTTATCGCTTATTTGGAGTAGTTTGTTTAGATCCTCAGGTTGGACTTTTTGTTCCGCCCAGTGGTAAATATTTATGATGTTTATGTTTCGGTTATTTAATGTGATTTTAATGCCGTTGGCTTCTAGGTTTGGCGTGTCTATTTTTATTTCTTCGTAATGTATATCTTCCCTGATAAATATGATTAGTCCTCCTGCGGCTCTTCTTGTTTTCGGTTTAGCTCTGTCAGTTCTAACTGAGTTGTAGTTAGGTAGTGTGAATTTGGATTTTTTTGAGAATTTATAGGTTGATTTTAGACATAAATGCACTGGATTTATGTTCTGTGTTATTTTAATTAATGTAACCTATGTAAACAAAAGCCTTAGCTGAAAACGCTTTGTTTGTTTCAAATGACGTTTTGAGCAGGAACTGTGAGTAGACAGAGATAAATAAAATAACTGTGCACATTTAATCCCCTGTCCATGTGTTTTCAGTGTGAGATTCCTTCCTTATTTTAATATTATTTAAACTAATTGCCCGTATGTTTGATGGCCAAGTGTGAGAATGGTTTCCTTGCAGCTATCATTGTGTTAGTGTTGTTTTAGTTGACAGTCTGTTGGTACTAGTATATACGTTTGGCCCTTTGATGAAAAGAAGTAGAACAGATCAGTGTATCAAATAAGGGGATTATGCTGGATTAAGGGGATTATTATTATGGAACAATTCACTGAGTGGTATGCCAACAACATTTCATCTAATCTTCGATCAGGTGACAATCCTCACACTCCTGTTGACCTGCGGATTAGTGTCATGAAACCCATTCATGCGCGTTGGCTCGTGTCTGCTCTTGTCAAGCTTGTAAAGGACACTGATGGGATAATTCGTGGCTGGCGCCAATCTCGGCTGCTTGACAGGATGCGAACTGACCACTACTCAACTTCACTTTGTGTAGGTGACTTTGTTATTTTGTCTAGTGGGTGCTATCAACTTGTAATGATCTGATATCATTGTTTTTGATGTAATACTAGTAAATAGTACTAAAGTGATTTATTTCGTTTGTTGATTGTTTCCTTATTTTGATGGTACAAAATTAATGCGCATAAAATTAATACGACCTTCCGTCACTCGCATTTTTCGCATTAATATTCTGCTCACATTAATTTCCTGTTTTACAGTAAACTGTCTGTCTGTCTTCACTACCATTATATTGCTGATATTCTTGTTAATGATTGTCTCTAGAATCTTCTAAGACATCATTATCTTGTTAATTTAGATTCTCATGTCACTTCCAGTTCCATTCTTACCAGGTGTGATTTCAATTTGTCAGAATGACTTTATTTCCTTTCTAGGTGTCATTTCCAGTCGCTTAAAAGTGATAATGAGGTCATCTATGACCTCACTTCCGGTATTATTTATGCCAATTATGATCTCACATCCAGTCGTGATGACACTTCTGGTCTCAATTCTCCCACTTGTGACATCACTTCCTGTTATTCTTATCAACTGTAACCTGCCCCTGTAAGTCATATCCTGTGACCGGTAGTTGGTTGTATAGGGAAAGGCGGAAGTCGCAGGTCTGTGGACATACTAAGTCGAAAGGGCCTAGGACGGAAGTGAGCAGGGGGAGAAGTCATTTACGATGACCGTGATGAGCTATGGGCCTTTACTGCTAAGTTGATAGAAGAGACCTGAAAACGCTTGGTTGTATCTTGTCTGACTTTTGCTATGATGGTCCCAAGTTGGTTGTTTATAAGTTTGTGGGCCTTTATAGGTTGCGTCATCAACATCTTGGCTTGAGACGAAACAGACTTGCCATTGCATCCACTGAAGTTGGGAGGTCTAAACTTACATAGAGAGAAGCTCCTCTTGCATATGCACAATAGCGTTGAGCAGGCTGTGGGTGATCAAAACGCATCTCCAAATGAATGTAAGAGGGTGCGTGAAGCTTGCAATGGTGGAATAGTGTGAACAAATGCTGGCCACAAATCAATTGATGTAGGCGCTGATATCCATCCAATGAGTATTTGTTTATTGTGGAAACATCCTTAACTCAGCTGGCTGGTAGAGAGAGCCTCATGTTTGGACCCTTAACCAGTTTCAGAAATTCTTCATCTAAAAGAGTGGAATCTGGAAACGGTAAATCATGAGTATAATATGCTTTCCTCTTTATTTGAGGTAGAGGAAGTCTGTCATCATGCTCGAGTTACATAACTAGTCTGTTGTCTGATCGATAATCTTTTGAGTATAACTAGGCCACAGAGGATGAACGTTGGATGACGTAATAGGGTCTCACAGCCCGTGCGGTCATAGCAGGACCCAGGTAGAGGCATATAGGAACCCGGATGGGAATCCAAACTGTGAACATCTTGCTGAAGTTGCATAAGGTGTTGAAGCCCAAGGGGGTAAACCTTTAGCGTAAGCCTAGAGCCTGGCTGGCTGACAGATTCATCTCCTGATGTGGAAAAGGAGATATTTTCACTCATGGCTACGCCACTTATGTAAATATCTCCTATTCCCCCCGTCACGAGATAAGAGAAACATGATATTTCACTCGACACATGAAATATCCTCTATGTTCTACACTGATATGATGTTTCCCTCAAAACCCCCAATCTAAAAAAACCATGATCAGCTGATCATCGCGAGCTTATAACACGGGAAATACCAGTCAACAAATCAGAACTGAAGTACGCAATTAAATCCCTTTATTATACTATCTGGTTATAAAAGTGTTCACTGTATATCTGGATTTATGTTTGTAACATATTTTATCAATCTTATTCAAACTTTCATGTTTACATTAATTTAGGCAAAATGTGAAGTGATCTGTAGATCGCACAACTCACCGTTATTTACAGCAACCACGGTCAGATTACCGCAATTGATGCCTTGAAACAAACTTAAGTTGCCAGAGAATTGATACAAATATTGTCAATGTCATACTTCGACTCGTCAAACGTCATATTTGTGGCAATTTCACTATTATAAGTCAAAATACCGTTTTCACAATTGAAATACGTGTACGTAGTGCGGGAAGTCCCTACGATGACTGGTCAAATTGTTCCACACATATAATAATATCTTGCAATAGCATCACCTGTCCCAAAGTGACTTCTTTGATAGGCATTTAGAAGTTGGAGAACTAACCCCGTTATCAAGCAAGTGATGTACAGACTGAGTGACTGATATAGGAGACTTAACGTGCGCTTTCCGACTGTAGCGTATTTCGCACACGGGGAAGAGAATGTAATAGCCTTGGTCATGGTTGATTGACAGTTGGTGAGTTTTGATGTTGATGGCTTCTTGTAGTTTCCTGTTTTTGAAGTCCTTGAGGTTGGTGGTGAGGGCATAGACTTTATCCGACAGCATTCAGTGGGATACACAGCATTCAGTGGGATAAAGTCATATGCTGTGGCTTGGGTTGTCACGGATGTGGTCTGATAGAGCTGATTTCGAGTCCTCTTTGGAGACTGAGGTTTGATGTTCTTTAATTCGGGTTTTGAGGGGCCTATATGTTTCTCCAATGTAAGCTTGTCCACTGCAGTGTACCACATTTGTTTCTGGCTCTTATAATTTTTTCATAATATATATAGTAAAAGCTGCAACTAAATAACAAGATATTGGAATATATCATTCCTGATAAAACAATAATTTTAGACACAATTTTTTCGGACCATTGCATCAAAATTGTTTGAAGTTGTATCATTGGGTACTTTTCAACTGAACCACCGGTAGATTAGGAGAAAACGTGTGTACAGCCAATTGCTATTTCTGGCTTAGTGCCCAAGAAAATACACACGGTTATCTTAATCTCTGCATATTAAATAATGCCTTGGTCAGAGGAAATACAGTGTAGATGGTAAATCATCCTGTCTAGTAAATTTCATATTTTTACAACTTATAGACCTATTAATATAGATTTACCTCAATGTGTTTCTTCAAAGCGCATAATTATCAATCTTTATTCACACTATGAATCATAAACATCTCATATTCTTATCTTTTTTCAAACTCTGAAACATAGATTGTGTTGGGTAGGCAGAACATGTATTGTTGTCTCCATCCTGGTTTACATTACCTAATAAGCCTTGCGATTGGCTCTCTGATTGGCTCTGTGTGCTCACTGAATATATTAACCAATCAAACAGGTCCTATTACATAACTGAATGTGTCCTATTGTTTCATTGGTTGACATTCATTGAACAGCCAACCAGAAGGCTTTAAATTAAGCGTGTCACGATGACCGGCTTGTGCTTCAAATGACTTGGAAACACAGCAGCAGCCAAATGTTTTTAAGTCAGCTGTGTGGAACCATTTTGGATTTCCTGTATTATTTTGGGATGGAGTTTGAACTGTCAATAATTAAGGAAGAACAGCCTGTCACCATTGTTTCACTTGAGTAGTATGACAAAGATGTCCACTGATCTTCATTTCCATCACTTGGACATAGATATACTTTTGGGACTACTTTTGGAAACTGTCATGAATGTCCTGCACTCCTAGTAAAAATTTATTTCATATGAAAACAAAGATTACACATACAAAGTAAGGATTTCTATTGTATATGCTCTACCACCAGTTGATCTAATCATGTATGTCATCATATACCACAGATCATAAAAGTTGAATAAATGAAATACCTGTTTTTTACAAAGGAAACAAGTCTTCTTGAAGCACTGCTGACATGTCATAGAAAGCTGACCTCGTCCATTCTGCCAACCTTGATATAGAAAGCCATTGCCACACTGAAAAGAAATCCCCCAAAACATGATACTAGTAAAATCCTTGATATTTTTTATATTTGTATACTTATCCTGCATTACTCCTTTATGCTTGTTCTTGACAGAGAAAAGAGTTGTGTGAAGGTCTTTTCTTGAAGAAGTTGTTCCAACTAGCTGATGACACGTAGAGAATACAGAACTTAAGCCAGTTCATAACTCGTGGCCACCTTAAATATTCAAGATGGCTACTTGAAACCATAAGACACCTGGGTTTACCATCGTTATCTTTTTGAAGGAAACGCCAGCAGGTGTAAAAGAGTTGTGCACATGTTAAAACATACAATGTTTTACAAGATACAAACCGTATGCACAACACAAGCACAATGAACATTAACGCAAGAAGCAAAACATGTGAGAGTTTGAACAAGTTTTATGCTACAGATCAAAAACCGGTCTTCACTCATCAAGTGACAAGAGTAATGTGGGGATCGGTAACGTCACTTCCTTTGGTTACGTCGGAGCTGCGTGACAGGGTTGGCCTCTCAGCTAGTTGGAACAACTTCTTCAAGCAAAGACCTTCACACAGCTCTTTTCTCTGTCAAGAACAAGAAGTAATATGCATTAAGGACAAATGCAGGATAAGTAAAAAATCTGAATTTTATGGGAATTTTGGTTTGTTATAATTAATTAATTGTTAGATTTTCATTCCCACCCATCTCACATTTTATTGTTCCCAAGTACCTCTAGACAATAATAGACAATTGCTTTGCAACATGTGATGCGTTATTTCTTTACATCATAAAATTATTAAAATATAGTCAGGCATGGCAACAATCCACATTCAGCATGTGGCTATAATTATAACACAGTCACAACTGTTGAAATTCTAGGGAAAAGACTTGTCAAGATGTGAGTCACAAAAGTCAACAGCTCATGTGCACATTTACCTTGAACAGTTTCTTCAAATAATAAACTTTAAAAAATATAATGTCTCACATTTGTTTTGTAAATTTGGGATGAAAAAATCTAATTATCTAATTATTGTTTCTTTCGGGGGGTTTAAAAGTATGCTTTACATATTGAATAAGCTTAGCTCTGTGTGTGTGTTTGTGAGTGAGTGAGTGAGGCAAAGAAACAGAGTACAACAACTGTAGTGGTTATTCTTTTCTGTATGAAATACTTATTGTTAATACCAACGGTTAACGTCAACTCTGTCAGAAATAGCCAGACATAAATAAAACTACTGTAGTATGTTCCTACCTGTGCAGTGACACAAGGTTCCCTGTGATGGTTGAAGACAATGAACTTTAAGTTGTGTTTTAGCATGCTGTTGTATTAACCATGGGAATCCGTTCCCAGTGCCATCAAATCCTTGGCAATTACGTTTCAAACTCAGCCATAAGCAGTCAGAATATGATAAATTGGAAGCATATGTGGTGTTACAAATGTAAAGTTAAAGTAGCATATATACTGTAAATCGTTCAGTCTGAATTGAACTGTCCATAAGTCAATGTGCAAATGACCTTGATATTTTATATTAACCTGACATAGAAGATAGTGCTTATGCATTTCATTGCTTTGACTATGTAAGATTTCTGGAGACCCAGACCTTCATCAGGGGTCATTTCCTCAAAAAAGACACCACCCAACATTAGGTGTGTAAAGTTTTATCATTTTCCAATGATACACGTTCAAGTTTTCACAAAATGCTTTGATATATATATTTTATGAATTAACCTGAAATTTGAGCCATGTTATATGTGACCCCTCATGACCTTGACCCTATATGACACACTTGTATGTCATCAAAAGCACTAGATAAAGTTGACAGCGTGTTCCTGGAAAGAAATGAACAAATGCCAAGAGGTTTCTTCTAGCCAGGATGTGGTAGTGCTGCTCAGGCAATCCTGACCTTGAGCTATGACCAGTGGCCTTAAACTAGAATATGTGATTCTCTAATTATCAAATAAACAAATGAGTAAAATCTAAATAATTTTTACATTTGTATACTTATCCTGCATTACTCCTTTATGCATTTACTGCTGTTTTCTGACAGAGAGACAAACCATGTGAGATCCAGCTGCTGAAGAAAAGTTCCAACCAGTAGAGGCAGCACCCTCGCACAATCAGCATGTGACCCAGAAGTCATGACGTCACATCAAAACACATATCTGCTTCGTCACCTCCATGCACGGATACTTTGTATCCCTTGTGGAAATTAAATTTGATTGTTTCTATACTTTGAGTATTTCTGCATTCATTGTATGCTGCTATATTGTTGCCTGTTTATGGTCTGTTACCTTTGGGGTCTTCCCATTCGTAATTTGTAATGTTTATCGCTCGTTTTGTAGTCACAGTAATTTAGGGGCATATTGTTGTTCCTGACATTTTTTCCCCGCCAATATTTAGATTTTAAGAATTTTTTTAACTTATCCTGCATTACTCCTGAATGCATCTTTATCAGACGCCACCTACGGTGGACATACCTTCAGATGTGATCCATAATAAAGCCTCGTCAAGGTCCAATGAACCCGCTCCTCATACAAGTGATGACTGGAACATCTACAACCATTCCTGTCTTCAGGAAACGAGAGTCGATGCAAAAAAGAAAACCCCGAATAGGTGACAGAAATAGACGAGGCGGGTAGCCAAAAACTAGAACTGACATAAGAGCGAATGCTGAAGCAGTAGAGGCCTCTAGTCTGGGGTGGTAAACATCAGAGAGGACGACGGGCCCCGCTCGGGTTATCAAAGAATCAGCGGTGTCGGCGTCAACATCTACGACCATTCCTGTCTTCAGGAAACGAGAGTCACTGCAAAAAGGAAAAACCTTAATAGGTGACAGAAATAGAATGAGGCGGGTAGCCCAAAACTAGAACTGACTTAAGAGCGAATGCTGAAGCAGTAGAGCCCTCTAGTCTGGGGTGGTAAACATCAGAGAGGATGACGGGCCCTGCTCGTGTTATCGAAGAATCAGCGGTGTCGACATCAACATCTATGACCATTCCTGTCATCAAAAAACGAGTGTCTATGCAAAAAGGAAAACCCTAATAGGTGACAGAAATAGAATGAGGTAGGTAGCCCAAAACTAGAACTGACCTAAGAGCGAATGTGAAAGCAGTAGAGCCCTCTAGTTTGGGGTGATAAACACCCGAGAGGACGACAGGCCCCGCTCAGGGTATCGGAGAATCAGTGGCATTAGGGATTGGTGACCTTTTGGGCTACAACCAGGGGACCAAAACTGTGAACGCCGGCGACATCTTCGACTTGATGGAGCAGTTACTGTGAAGAGCCATGGTAGATGCGACTTCATGCGATTTCATGTGGATTGTTAGCCTTGGGGGGTCCAATCCAGCTGCTTTATAAGCTTGTAAGATGACTGCCTGGGGCCACAAGGAAATAGTATTCTGACTGACCTCTGACTGTGACAAGGGGAGACCGGCAGGAAAAAGCGTTTCCTAGACTTGCGGCAAACTTAAGACCGTCATAGGAAAACCCTCATAAACCATAATAAAAACCCTGCCTCTTTGTCGGCACCCACAATGGATGTGAGGGGGGATGGTGAATGATCTGACAGGCTGTCCTGGGATATTAGATTCTTGGCAATGAAGTCCCAACACAGCCCAAGACACACAAAGCCATGAGTACTGCGTTGTATCGGACACCTTAGTAGCGTGAAGCTCACTGTGCAGCGGTTGTCAGAGCCAGTGGAAAAATGGTCATCTTTGTAAGGTCATAGAAGGAAGATGAGTGGTTCGAAGGCAGCCGTCTGAAGAGCCAGTAAAACCATGTACAGATCCAACACAGGCGGTCTGAACTTGGATTACTGATCTTCAAAACTGTTTCGGAGATTTCTCCATTCGACCAAGAAGGCAAGCACAGTTAATGGCGACCAGGTACCTAGAGATGGTAGAGCCTTTCAACCGAAGAGTGCTGTGCAAAAAAAGGAGAAACTTAGTCAGAAATGGAGGTGGCGCTGTCAAAGGATCCTGGCGTTCGTTTGAGCAGTGGGCCTGGAAGGAGCACCCTTTGTTGACATACAGTCCCCGTGTAGACGGACGATGGGCTAAAGCAATAGCCTTGGCCATTCAAACTGAGGCTCCTAGGGCACTCAGCAGAAGGTCCAGGGGGTTGCCTCTAATAAGGGCTCGGAGGACAACAAACCAGTACGTCGTTGGCTACCAGGGCGCGTCCAAAATCAGTGGTCGAGGGGCCTGGAATATTTGAAGAACCCTGGGAAGGAGAGCCGAAGGCACAAAAGCGTAAGGGGATAAACCTCCCCTGGGAACGCTGAGGGCATTGACTGCAATAGCTGACAGATCCTGACCAGTGAGATGTAGGATGTCTGCTGGCAGTTCTGGGATGTGGAAAACTGATCGATGTTGGGGGAGATCATCTTTCGGCAAATCAAGGTGGACACGTCTGAGTGGAGCTACCACCCGAGGGACCCAACATGTCTGGCCTGGACAGTGCGTGTGACAGAACATGCTCTCAACCTGGTAAGTGCTGAACGAGAAATTACAGGTCCAGGCTGACCACAAAGTCAGAAGAAGCAGGAGGTCTGGTTTAGCAGGGATGGAGAGTGGAGAGTACCCTGGTTTCAAACCATGGTGATGTTGTCCATGGATATGATCAACAGGGCGTGACCTAGAATGCCGTGCCAGCAAGTGACGGCCAGGATAAGAGCTCTTAGCTTGAGGCTGTTGCTGTGCCAATGGAGTTGATCTCCGGACCACAGCCAGTCACAAAGAGGAATCCCAGAAGCACTAGCCACTGTCAAAGTGGAAGCGGCAGTGGTAGAGCGGGAAGCCATGGTTGATGAGGTCGACTACAAGACTGCAAAGTTGAAAAGTCAACAACAGTGTTCAAATCCGCTCCACAACCGATCGCTGAGGCATTGACTTAACTGGTTAGTCGGAAGTCGAAGCAATGTCCATAAATAAGGAGATATTTTCCATCCCTTAAATGCAGTATAAGCGCTCCTGTTCTTATAGCAAGGGGGCTACCGTGTTGGTAGTGGAGGTCTAAAGTTTCCATCCTCTGCACATGGATGAACAACAACAGGTGTCTGGTTGAATTCGTAGCACCATGTGTACAAGCAAGCATGTAAACCAGTCTGTAGAAATATATTGCACTGCTCCAAATAGGTCCCCAAGGAACTGTGTGGTAGACAAACAAGTGCTGTGCCCGAGTTCTGCGAAAAAATGCGGGAGCACCGTGAACACCGTGGAAAAACCGGGAGCGAGGTGGAAGAGCCGCTTTGAGGAACGCTGGCGCTAAGGCAGAGTAAAGGAGAGTTGGTGCCGGCAATGTCGATGAAGAAGACCACCGCGATATGAGACAAAGAGGTCAAACAAAATGAGCATGAACAGTGAAGATCTGCAAGTGCTGATACAGACCCTGCCCTCCAGAAGCCATGTTTTGATGGAAACCTAGCACGTATTGGCCAATCCGATCGTAGGAGGCTTTGAAGAAACGGCTTCATTGAACATGGGAGCTCCTTCAGCTTTATCCAAGGAGTGAACCTGCAGGTCATCTCTCCTAGCACATGGCGCTTTAAACGACAGGGGTTAAGGAGAATGTCGCAAAACCAAACCTCATCCAGACAACCGGTCGGCAAGTTGAATCAGACCAAATGTCTACTGGTTTGAAAAGATTCCTCCCAGGAATCTGAACGATATTCACGATTCCAGGTGATGTACAGGAGAGCAGCTACAGGAGCGGCAAAGATGGAAAAGACATGGCTTCACCTTGCCGCTCGGTGATGATCTAGACCGACGAGAGAAATAGAAGGCAGTACCATTGAAGCAATTGCCAATGACGCCATCGGCACTGTTGGAAGACAAGGGCGCCGAAGGCGCCGCTGATGCCAAAGTAGAGCAGAGGATAGCAGGTGCCTGAGGGGCGGGGAGCACCTTTGGCGTCGCTTCTTTGAAACACCGGCCGCACCTCTGCTGTCGACATTGATGGCAGAGGAGACAGAAAGCCAGTCACGTAACGGGCATCACCGGAGGAGGGGACGATAAAGGTGATGGCAAGGTAGGCGTAGAAGACAAGAAAGAGACATCGGTCGAGATGAGGGAGGGAGTCTCCGAGTTGTAAGCCATATCAGGGTGTTGACGCCCATGTTGAGTGAGGCGTGTCCTGGATACTCATAAGAGTTGAAGTAGCACAGCGACGAAGGACTGCAATATCGCCACTGCGCTGTGAAAGTACAGGGCCTCGTACAATCAAGGCAGAAGGGGCGGGCCCCGACCAGATTTGTTCCCGCGGCAGCAAGAGCGGCAAGGCATAAAGTCTGGAATATAAGCAAAAACATAACAATGTGGCAAACACACAATGGGAAGCATAATGTAACTCAAAAACTTTTTATTTTATTTTAGATTATGAGAGAAAACATTTACGTTAAAAGGTAGTGAAAAAGAAAAGCTTTAAACATGCAAACACCAAAAAAATATAAATTTAGTGTATTACCCAAGCCAAATAAAGAATTCTAAACGCGAAACACGAAGGTACGTGACCACTTGGTGAATCGCAAAAATGTTGAGGAAAAAATGGTGGGAACAACAATACACCTGTAAATTACTGTGACTACAAAACGAGCGTTAACATTACAAATTACGGATGGGAAGACCCCAAAGGTAACAGACCATAAACAGGTAACAATATACCAGCATACCATGAATGCAGAAACACGCAAAGTATAGAAACAATAAGCTTTAATTTCCACAAGGGATACAAAGTATCCGTCCATGGAGGTGACAAAGCAGTTATGTGTTTTGATGTGACTGGAACTCACACAGTTTGTCTCTCTGTCAGAAAACAGCAGTAAATGCATTAAGGAGTAATGCAGGATAAGCTAAAAAATATTTTTTTTTACGGGAATATGTTTTTCATGATGGATTGTTGTCAACTTTCTCCATTCCTAACAAAACAAACCATTCATTTATTATCAACTGATTCCTGTCCAGAATTCATGTTAAGAATCTTTTCTTGCATTAAGTCTAAACCTTAAATAATAGATGGCATACCAGTCCAACGAGGTTGAAAATTATGTTTTGACACATACATGAACAAAGAAATGTATGTAACATCTGATACAAACCCACACAGTGCATGGAAGGTCAAGGTATTGCCAGACTTACATGAGCACACCATCTGAACTTGGGGTCGTTTTGGAGATGCCAATCTCGAACTTTGGTTTCAAATAAATCTTGAATGTCCTTTTCAACAAAGGTGTTCAACTGCAAATAAAATCAGAGAACCTATTAAGTGAACTTAATGGAAATCCATCAATATTCATTAGAAATTAATGGTGAAATTAGCATTACATTCAATTCTCTTCAATACAATGGTCAAAAGCATATATCTGCAGGATTCAGAAATAGGTAAGGTGAAATGGAATTTGAAAATGGGGTTTCAAAGTAAGTCCTTGAAGTAGACTTTGATGTATGACACTGTGTCATCAGTCAGTGAGTGCAGTTCCTGGAAGTCACTTTCCTTAGTCTTTAGCGATCAATTTGGCCAATGTTATTTCAGGCTGTTCACATCACAGCAGGTCTCTCAGTAGCCATAGGCAGTTCTATCATCATAAGATCAACCAACTAAATGCCCCAGACAGGCTTAATAAAATAGGCAGAAAGTCCATCCTGAAGTAGAGATACGTTTTACTTGAGATTCATATCAATTTGCATGATTTGCATCATCTGCTGTTGTCCCTTCTACAGTCATGTTGAAGGTGATTGTCCACAATTGGTAGAGTAGGAGGACAACCAACAAATCTGTTTCACTGATGAGAAGTGGGACAAGTCTTCTACTAAATATCAGAGCAATTTCTTGAAATTCTCTTCTTCTTTTGGGAGGGAAATTACAAAAACCATACACACGTTTCATTGTATCTTCAAACTGTAGTTTGAATTCTTAACTGAATCAAGCACTGCCAGTTCGAATTTATGTGCCACACATGCAGCTCTGGGACAGAGTTCTGATGTTTTCTAACAACACTGTCTTTCCTTCTCCATCAAAGCTTGCACCGACCAAAACTGGGCCTCATATAAGAGTGTAGTTTTAAGTCAGCAAGAGAAATGTACATAGTTTTCAGGCCAGGAAATATGTTCAGTTGTGTTCATTCCTGCATGTCTCAAGTGAACAAAGTGTAGCCGCTGGCTTGTTTTTGTTTATGTTTTCATAGTTTCTTGTTCTGTCACTTCCATCAGCTAGGACACAGATGTAGGCACATGCCAAGACATCTCTTACAATTTCATGTTGCAATGTTTCTGCTATCTGCTTCATGAAAAGTTTACAAACTTTTGCATTTATGTGCAGTTTTTCCCAAGGTCAACCAGATTTATGTCCTGTACAGTACACAAAAGTTTGAAGTCTGTAAACGACTTTCCACAGTTACCAACTGTTCAGGTGAAAGTTCCTGTTTTGTCTGACAATTGTTGCCAATATCTACACTAACTTCCTGTGGCACCCATCACAAACACATGCAAAGACAAGTCAATTGTTCACCTGAAAAAAAACATAGGAACATACGGTACAAGTCAAAATAGGTAATTGCCAACATTATTTTTGTCACAGATGCATCAAATTTGGAAATGTTCTCCACATGTCTATTAAAAACTTTTTGAAAACTTTACTGAGGCCTTGAATGTTGCAACTCTTCTGAACAAGAGCTGTAAGGCACTCTTTCAGATCTTGGTAGAAATAGTGGTGAAATGTAAACACAACAGGCTGAAGCTGCTGGATTATTGCTGGACACAAAGGGAAAGCTGAAGCAATCCCTCTTGTCATGAGACTTGTGTTTTGTCTCACTGAATGTTTATGCTGAGATCTAAATATGAAACAGATGAGGTGGTCTTACTTGTCTCCTTTATTTCTGGTTCAGGTGGGTACATGAGTGGAAGTGGAGGGACGACATTAATACACGTAAAGATCAGACAGGTCAACAATGACAAGAAGACACAATTTATTCATAAATCTTTATAAAATGACAATAGAACATGTAGTCAGACAATCAACAAGATCAAATCTGACAGAAACGCATTATTTTGTGAACATAATAACAGGCGATGATGTTGCGTTAGGATAAGCAGACTTGATATTTATTTGGAAGTATTTTGTAACCAAACATGAGTTAAATTCTACAAAATCTGTGTGCAGAACCCAAACAGAATTTGCTTCTTTTAGGAATTTGACTTTTGTACATATCGATTTTATCCGTGAAATGACATCAATAGTGAATCGATCGACTAACACATCTGTTCATATACCATTATTTTACTACATTTGGTCACATCGATTCTTAAATGTGTACATCAGCGGACTTTTTATGATTTTTTTCTGCCTACAAATTTAAAATGTCATGCGTCATTGATGTTGGACTTACATATATTTCAACCCCCGAAAACATTCTAAAACCTAAAAACATATCTGCTGAACAAGGCACATTAGAGAAAACATCAAACATACTTTGATGGTGCATGGAAGTCACGCAGAACCTTTTCAGATAGTGGCCAACAATACATGCTTCTTAAGTTATTGTAAAGGGACAGTATGTCAACTGTTCTGTGTCTTATCAAATCATGCATGAAATAATTTCCAAGTTTGACGTCACATGCCTGATTCAATTCTCAAACCCCAACAATAGAGCTCTGCACAGCAAATCCGACAATGAATGAGCTGTGCAGAGTGAACTGGCTGCAGTCTTGTATTTTGATGGAGGCAAATTGAAGAGAAAGCGTGTGTTTTTTTCTTACGTCTGAGTTACAAAAATACTAATTGCCAGCTTGATTTGATTAGAAACTAGTGTGTATCAAGGGTTACAGGCCGGCAACGCCACATTTCGAAAATAGATAGCCCAAATTGATGTGGCGCTCCCGGCAATGGTTATGGTTGCGTGATTGTATAATGTGGCTCTCACGGCTATGCTGTCAAAACATGCTTTGTGATTCTAACAGGTTACCGTATATAACAAAACAAGTCTTGTTTTCTCATTTCTTATTCAACAAGGATATATATTGAATAGCATATGAATATCATAAACTCTAGACCTCCTCTACTAGCAAAATCGCAAAGGTACTGAAACATGTTGACATAACACTCTTTTTTTCGATTGGACAACAAACAGTAAACTAATGGAAACATATGGCCAAACACCTCAGCATGTAAACAATAAATCTGATCAAACAACTTGGGACAGGCATAAAATGTACCATCACAAAATACAATGTCTGCAGTACACAAATGTTCAATGTTCTTGTCTGTGGTGAAGATGAGGATGTCGTCACTAACACGGTGTAGGAACTGGTCGCCTCCCTCAGTCTGGGAGTACTTCTCCTCCAGCTGGATCTGTGGTCTGCTGTCAGGAAGGCGGGGCAAGGTCTTGTGTCTCTGGCGGTAGAGGATAGTGGTGAGAGACTTCAGGGCTGGTATCTGCTTCAGGAGGTCATCTGAGACGATGTCGTGATGTTGGCGTAGTCTGGATATCTCCTCTCCGTAGATAGTGGGTATAGGGGTCGTTTCTGTCCTCGCTCTCTCCATCAGTCTAGCCTTAAAGGCATCAACCTCAAACTCGAATGGTTGTGGGTCGTGGGAGTGATCCATGATCTCAATGGCGTGGAGCAACTCACCCAGAGTTGTGATCCTTGCAGTGCACTCCTTGACAATACAGGACCAGTATCTTCTTTCACCACGACTGCTCTTACACCGAAACTTAAAGCCATCATAGTATAAATGTACGCCTCCTCTGACACTTTCAATGAACTTTATTTGAACTTGTGCGTTTGCCATGGTTATGATATGGAGTGAACACGACATCACTTAAATATGTTATGAATAACAGGATGAACTCAATGTCAATTAAGACGGCCTTTGATCTCTAAAGAACACCACGCTTAGTAATTTAAATGTGAGATACTCATTTAAAGGTATCTCTAAAGAACACCACGCTTAGTAATTTAAATGTGGGACACTCATTTAAAGGTATCGGTAATCGGATTAATTAATTACCCGCTAGAATAGGTGAAATGCACTCAGCTGGAAATGTGGCCCTACCGGCAATAGCCATTTCTGAAATGTGGCGCTCCCGGCTAGACACCGTATCAAGGCCTAGATTACAACATAAATATACCACGGTCTACCACTCTACTACCAAGAGTTCCTTTGTTTAAAACCATATAGTCATGCAGCTCACTGTCACAGTTGTAGTAGTATATCTATATATACCAGCCACAAAAAAAAACAGTGCATTGTTAAAATTCTTTTGAAATTTAAAAATATAACAATGAAAAGTTTCCATGTAAACTATTATAGATGGAATTTGAGATCATAAGATGGCAGAACACCACGAAACCACCCCCAAAGGGATTCATCTCCATGACACAGGCCTCGCATAACACTTCCGAAGACGTCTGTAGACACATTGATGTCCGTCACTATGGGAAATGTTAAATCTGGGCTCATCTGCAAAAACAACTGTCCTCCATCACAACCGAGGTTAAGGGACATGATTTCAGCACTACCTTTGACAGTTTGGTCGATGGCGTTGCGTCAAGATAGGTCTAATGCGAGACGACGTGGTCATAAACCGTAATGATGCAAGTGGTTCCTGACTGTGGTGGAGTGAATATGCTGATTAAAATAAAAAATGCAGCAAAGAGGGTTTGGGTGATCCTGGCACAGTCAGGCTGGTTAGGTTCATCATCAGCTCAGGGCCCTTGCCCCCTCTACACGCAGCCCAGACAGTGAATGGGACTTCTCCCAGGAATCGCTGCCTAGTCAAACCCACCCAGAACTTTTCGGAGAATGTGAAGACTCCCCAACACTGCAGCCTTCTGCATTACCCAGATTGTCAGAAGGGCTGTATTCCTGGTAGCAAACCCGGGTACTCTCCCGATGTCAGTCAACAGACTGGGAGGTACCAAACCTAAAGCACCGAGGACAATGGGGAGTCAGACAACTTGGTACTTAGGATGCAAGCGAGACATTTCAAAAGCTAGGTCTGCATTATTATTATTATTATTATTATTATTTACAGATTAAAATAGAAAATGCAGCAAAGAGGGTTTGGGTGATCCTGGCACAGTCAGGCTGGTGAGGCTTATCATCAGCTCAGGGCCCTTGCCCCCTCTACACGCAGTCCAGACAGCGAATGGGACTTCTCCCAGAAAGCACTGCCTAGTCAAACCCACCCAGAACTTTTCGAAGAATGTGAAGACTCCCCAACACTGCAGCCTTCTGCATTATTATTATTATTATTATTATTATTATTATTATTATTATAAAATGCAGCAAAGAGGGTGATCCTGGCACAGTCAGGCTGGATAGGCTTATTATTATTAGATAATATGTACAATTAGTATCCCAAACAAGATGATAACAAATGACTATTAGTAGTAAGAACAGCGGTAAGCTGATAAAGACATACCATGAGTCCAAGAAGATTGAGGTAGTCAGACACATTTTCATCATTGAAGTCAGGCAGACTGCATACTGGACAGGTCCAGTTACGAACATGCTTTTCCTTAATAGAGATCTCAAAGTGCCTACTGAGACATTCACGGCACATCTGACACTGACAGATGTTCAAGTTCATCATCTGCAACAGAACACAAGAGACCTTCACCACACATCTGACAATGACAAATGTTCAAGTTCACCATCTGCAACAGAACACAAGAGATATTCATAACACATCTGACAATGACAATTGTTCAAGTTCATCATCTGCAAAAGAACAAAAAAGACATTCACCACACATCTGACAATGACAAATGTTCAAGTTCACCATCTGCAACGGAACACAAGAGACATTCACTACATATCTGACAATGACAAATGTTCAAGTTCACCATTTGCAACAGAACACAAAAGACATTCACCACACATCTGACAATGACAAATGTTCAAGTTCACCATCTGCAAAAGAAGACAAAAGACATTCACCACACATCTGACAATGATACATGTTCAAGTTCACCATCTGCAACAGAACACATGAGACATTCAACACACATCTGCCACTGACAAGTGTCAAAAACAGAAGCAGACCTTTTAATGCCCTTTCTAGCGGGTTTTGTAAAATAAATGCCTCCAACAACCTCATACCAGATTCAACTAGAAAAGTGTTTGCAAATAATGTAAAACACAGAAGCAGTGCCTTTAGTGCCATTTCTAGAAGTCCCCAGAAATAATGACATAACCAGTACAAGGTTCCACTGTCATACCACAACCATTGGTTTGGTGAAATACATGACTTCTTCAACTTCATCGCAAACTGCAAACACTTTAGCTTGCATAAAGGGAGACCAAAGCAATTTTCATCAGTTCAAGTCTAATGATGTCACTTCCAGTTTGGAAAACGCGTACCTCATGAAATACCTGCCCTACCGATGGCACCCATCACAAACACCTGCAAAAGCTACCATGGAACATTTTGAAAACTTTTCTGTTGTAACATTGTTGAACTTTTGAACAAGAGTCATATGATGCTCTTTGAATCTTTGTAGAAAGACATGCAAGATCATACCTCAAAGTTGTGAAATGTAGACACCAAAAACTGGAGCTGCTGCAATATTGCTCAACATTAAGGGAAACTGGAGCATTGGAATGTTGACGCCATCTCAATTTCAAACAGTCTTGTTAAATTTGTTTTGTCACTCTAAAAGTTTATGCTTTCATCTTAATATGAACAGATGAAGGCGGTTTCACTGGATTCTTTTATTTCTGGTTCAGGTGCTCAAATAAGTGGCAGGGAATTATCTATTTGACCATTAGTGATAGATATCAGATCATTGATATACATCTGAATCTTATGTTAATCTTCCAGGCCAAATTGCCTTGTTTTGATTTTGCCAATCTGAGCAGAAAATCTGATTTACATTCATAAAAAAACAGATCAGCAAGAATGGGAGCCCAAATGGGGCCCATGGGGATGCCTACACTACATTTCAAAAGTCACTTCCCCTGTATCGCGAAACTATTTCGCTATACGTTCGCGATAGTGCCGTGAAAGTATCGCGAAAGTGACTCGAAAGTGGCGCGATAATACCGCGAAAGTGGCTAGAAAATGCCGTGAAAGTTGCGCGCTAATGCCGCGAAGTTTCGTGTAAGTGGCGCAAAAGTGCCGTGACAGTGCCGTGAAAGTGGCGCGATTGTGGCGCGATAGTGCCGCAAAATTCGGTAAAAGTGCCGAGAAAATGGCGGCATATTGGTACACTGCATGTACACTTCAGAAATGCTGTCGTGCGTTACTTCCCCATGTATGTCGGATGTATGTTCAATCTAACCTGGAGCTATATAAGCATGTTGCTCGTGTTATATTTAAAGAGGTGTAGGTGGTAGGTCCATTAACAGTATAAAGCTTTACATGGATAAAAATTATGTTCTTAAAACTGTATTTCCCAGTGGTGCCTGAATACACTTTTTTTTCTAGATTCAATCCCGATTTTGGTCCTCAGTTCATCTGATTCATACACAATAAGGACTTGCGTTCGTCCGTAAATGCCTGAAATGCTGAGTGTTAACAGCGGCCATCAAAGTCTCTGTTTAGCATTTAGCATTCAGGATTAAATATATGAAAATACATTTCGCTTTGATGTGCTTATGAAAACGAAATAACTTTCCTCAAAACGAAGTAGAAACCAGGTGATACACGGATGATACATACATGTAAGGAAGAGAATTTATGGATGGTAACTTTATTATGAGGAACACAATGTTTCGAAGTAATATTTACTCTTTCATCAGGTGAAGGAGTAAGTATACACTCCAAAACATTGTGTTCCCCAAATTAAAGATGCCTTGCTTATGTGTTGAACTTGTAAATGATTTTCAAAGACATGATCCATAGACGGTTTTAAAATGATAGGTCAAATACTGTGTTGTTTATCTGTTCCACATAGAGGTAAGTTGTAAGATGAGTTTCTGCTCGTTAATCAGACAAACTACTGCTACACTTGGTTTGTGCAAAAGTTGATGCACGTATACACATGTCGAGTGTCTCAGATACGCGGGGTCTACTTATTTACTTTTTTAAATTGGGACTTTAACGTGCGTATTTCGCACACGGGCCCGCCAGGCCATTTAGTGTTTGGTCGAAAAGGGTATGTCCGAGAAGGTGGGGCAACCTAGGGGGGCTTTTAGGGTTGTTTACTTAATTTGGATAACAAATTTGGAATTTTGAAATATGCCATGCAAAAGATGGAGGGGGGACTAAATGTAGTTTTAGTAGATGTAGTTCTAAAAATATTTTTTTGTAGATCTAGAATTTTAAGGTTTATCGGCAGCTTGTTTGTTGTACTTTGTTAGATGCGGACGAGTAGGCCTGTTTTGATTAGATATATGCCTAGTGCTTTAAAGGTTTGTAAGTTATTTAGGGGGTTTAGTACCGTTGCTAGTGTCATTTGATTGTTGCAGTTTAGAGTGGATTGGAGTGTTGTTCTATGTTGCTGGTACTGTGTGCAATATAGTATTATGTGTTCAGGAGTTTCTTTTAAGTTGCAGTGGGGGCATTTCCCGGATTGGTGTTTTTTTAGTTTGGTGTAGGTGGGAGTTTAACTTAGTGTCGCCTGTTTGTAGTTTAGTTATTTCTGATAGTTATTTTGCCACTTTTGTATTACTTTTAATTTAATCTTTTTACATTTGTAGGTTGATGCTTACTTCTTCTAATTTTAGTGCAGATTTGGCTGCTTTGTCTGCGTGTTCGTTGCCAAACACTCCAACGTGGGCAGGGATCCGTACTATTTCTATGTCTTCACCTAGTTTAAGTAGATTGTTGGCGCTTTTAATTATCTGTTGTACTAGTTTTGGGCGTTTTTTTGTGTTTTAGTTTTTTTATAGCCTGGAGCCCACTTAATGAATCTGAAAGGATTAGGGTTTTTGGTGGCGGGGTCTGCAGATATAGTTGTGATTTGATGAATTCTTTATTCTCTAGACATTCGAGAGCGAACCAGACTGCAACATTATTCACAATGAATATACTCAGAGTATCTACTCCAATAAAAAAAAGCACCCCACAGTTTATTATGTAACTTATAGCGAGACAACTCGGATAGTTAATTACATTGTCTACTCACAATGCTAAGCAGGTGCACGAAATAACAGGAAGAGTAGTATAGGTAATGGGGGTTCTGGCTCACTTCCACTGGAGCCGGATTCATATACCTATACTGCTACTACAGATGGAATTTTTTATGCCAAAATGATTATGTGATTTAATGATAGTCATGAGATTGACTCTAGCTCACCAATACCTGGGGCCAATCATTGCTTCTATTAGTATAAAAATGATGATGTGATTCAACGAAAGTCGTTTTAAAAGAAATATCAATATTAATTAATAATGGATAAAATTTACTATAGCCCACAAGGATATTGGAAAGGTGTAGGAGCAATAAAAAAATTAGCCACCGCGGCTAAGGTATCTAAAGATGTGGCCAAGGATTGGTTAAAGAAACAAGCGATGTGGCAAATATATTTACCGGCACCACGTTATATACCGAGGAAGAAGTTTGATATTTTTACAACGAATGAAGTTCATCAGGCTGACCTCTTGTTTCTTCCCCACGATAAGGTAAAACGCAAAACGTATAAATACGCTTTAACCGTTGTGGATGTGGCTAGTCGATACAAAGAGGCTGAGCCATTAACATCGAAAGAATCAACAGAGGTAGCTAATGCACTGAGTCGCATATATAAACGTGGACCGCTAAAATGGCCTAAGCTATTTCAAGTAGATCCCGGTCGCGAGTTTATGGGATCGGTAACTAAACTGTTAACAAAGAACGATGTCAAAATCGTCCGTGGTGAAAGAGAGGCCCACCGCAGTCAAGCTATCGTCGAAAGATTTAACAGGACATTAGCGGAATGTTTGTTTGGCTATCAGTATGGGATCGAAATGAAATCCGAGCGATTGAGATCAACCGAATGGGTGACACGATTATCAGCTGTTGTATCAGCGCTGAATAATGAAGTGACGAGATTAATAGGGAAGAAACCATCCGATGCGATTAAAATGAAATCCGTGACTTCCGAATCTTCAGCACCGAGGAGAGGCAAAGAACGAAAACTTCCGGATAGAGTAAGGGTAAGATATTTATACCAGCCCGGTGAACTCGAAGGAGGCCTACGTCGCGCAACCGATCCCATATGGTCCCTTAAGACGTATAACATTAGTCGATTGGTTACGAAAGAAGGAGAGCCTATTCTTTATTATCTTCAAGATGGACCGGGTAGGGCATTTGTACGAGAAGAGTTGTTCATAGTTCCCGACGGTACAGTATTACCACCATAACCATAAGCATAGGTATTTACACCATCATTATCAATCCATCTCTTTGTATCTAAGGGGGATAATGATGTCTTGTTCATTCTTAATCCATATATCCTATGATTGTAACTTCTTAAAGAGTTCATCTCGTGTTTGAACGTTCTACCGTTAAATAATGATTCTTTATACTGTTCGTGTTTGATATGCTTTTTTACAACATACTTTTTAACACCCTTAGCTTTTCTTATCTCTCCATTATCGGACTTCTTTATAGAATACATCTTAGGTCTTAATCCTACATACTCCGCTATAGGGGTCCCAGCACATTC